CTATTGACTTCTAATGATTCGTATGTCTCAAGTCAAGCCAAGTAATACGGGTTAACTGTAATAAGAAATCACCTATGTGAGAGAGAAGTGGGCTGCTTCAAATAGAACTATGTGGTGCTCAATTCTTAGAAACTCTCACAAAACCAGGCGTATGTTCATGGTCAAAATGAACATAATAATGACAACGAAATTGCGTTAAGAAGAATCCCGTGTGGAGTATATCATCGTTTACACAAACGGTAGAATAGTTCAAAGATAATGCGTTTACTGATCAGCTAGTAAAGTAAATATATTTTCACACGGGAAGGTTCAAAGGGTAATACCTACCTATCTTATGCAGGTTTCAACTGTTAAACTTTATCACCAAGTCTTTGTTTCATGGTTTCTCAATTTTTATTCATGTGGGGGATTGTTGGAAAAAATGGGTTGAGTAGCTAACTTTGACACAAAATTTTAATGGGACCCGATTGGCTATTTTGGAAGTTCAAGATTGATTTGTGTTCACCTTTGTGAGAACATCGAAATTATGTATTTACTTGCCAAAAATGATGTTCAAGAAAATAAAAAATTGGAGTTTGAAGTGTGCCAATTGAAAGAAATTTATGTTGTTGGAGGAAACCATTTAAGGTTTGTCTCACATAGGAAGATTATGAAAACAAATATCACCTTAAATAGGATTGCACTTTGGAATGGTGTGATCATATGTAGTATAAAGGCTCTTTCTACGTGCACACAGCGGGGCAAATCGATTTGAAATAAGCTTCGAATGTGAAAATTGGCCCCTTAGAAGAGCCCACGTTTTGTTAATTTTTTTCCTCCAACTGATTGTTTGAATTTCAAAACTGTCAAAACTCCAATATTCAATGCCAAAGATATATGAGTTAATGTTATTCATGGTGTTGAGCCTCTATAAGCCACCTGATTTCTAACAATTCTACACAAGAAGAAAAAGAAGAGAAAAACTAACACTGCATACAATTTTCTGCATAATTTATAAAACACGATTTCTCCATATTTCAGTCTGCATACTGCATAGTCACACGATTGGCGATATTGTTCAGACTCAAATTCCGTTCGCTCGAGTAGTATTTGATGTGTTCTACTATTGATCCGTTATATCCTGGAAGACGGACACCCAATTTAATCCTCAAGCACCTACAGTGAAGGGGCGAATCTGTTTTAAGAAAATTGTGTTTACACAAGCTTTAGTTAAAAATTTCTTGTTTTAGCTAATTAGTCTATTTGTTCTGTTTATTAAAAATTAATCTGCTTTATTTGGTCAACTAGATTAATTTGTTCATTTTATTGCAATCTAATTTGCTATATTTTGCATATACGGTATATTCAAGCCCGGTATATGCAAATACGGTATAAGCTGAATACACTGTTAGTTACATATACGGTATGCATAAATTCGGTATCTAAATCGCATATACACTATGCAGTATGTGTTAATCCGGTATTCATTTCCAACCATTCCATTCGGTACATTTAGTCCAACATTAGCTTTGTTTCACAGAAGAATTTCAATAATCAATACAAACAAGATCATACCTCGCTCTGGGTCCCATTTTAAGAAATTTCCCTTCTAGATTGTGCCCACAAAATGTAAGGGTAATATGGAAAATACTTGTTGTACTTCATCATTTATATAATTTTTTACAGAGTGATGATGTGTCAAAAAGAAAAGTTGAGATTATTATTATTATTATTTTAAATTTAGTTTATGAGATGTTGACCCAATTACATTTCTACACATCATCAGTTGATAACTCATTATGAAAGTGGTGATGTGAATAATATCCAATGTACAAATGCATAGTGGATGATTCATATTATCCACAAAAGACCAACTGCATCCTGCAATCCGGATTTGCCACGCATACGAGTTTCCAATTTTGTTTTTTTTTGTTTTTTTTTTTTGTAAGAAATGAAGGAGACAATAAATTATATGTTTGATACGTTCCCATTTATGTAAGATTTGGTTATACACAAATTTCATATGCTTTGAACCAACAGCTGCACAAGACTCCCATACTTCACCGCCCTATCTTGTCACCATATGGTTTCATTTAGTCTTCTCTTTCTAATTAATATTGGACACTTATATATGACCAAGTCTCAAGTCACTTGACAAGTAAATGACATCGTTTGATTATTTTGATTTCATGGTGTCAAACGGGTCGACTCAAAATGGCTCGAAATGATACCTAAAGATTGTTCTAAATATTCTATGTATCTGTCAAAGCTCTAAAAGATACACGGTACGTCAATTATGAAGGTCAAGCTTCAAGCATTATGAGTCTAGACATGTTTGGGCAAAGTCTTGGTAAATGAAGTTTGCTTTTAATTTAATTTTAATTATTTTACACCAATAAATAAATAAAATAGCACATACCTTGAAATTTTAAAGAAATTTTAGACATACTTTTCAAATTTCGAACAAAAATAAAAAAATCACGACTTAGTAATTAATGCCTACAATTAGATCATATATGAACATATCGATGGCGAATTGAAAATTACAGAAATTTGGAACATAAATTCACCATAGAAACAAGGTGGAGGAGGAATAATGTTTTGATTTTTTTATTTTTAGTTTTTAAATTTCGAATGCTCTGATTTAACTTTTAAGACATAATCAAGGAGTATGGGATTGTTCATGGGCTGGATTTCGTCTAAGGTTGAGCTTTTATGAACTTATTTCTTTTTTAAGTTTTAAAAGAAAAAATGGTTGTACTTTTTGCAGGATTGGACTATCTACCTTATTAAAAAAAAGGATCGCACGTCCTTTTCTACTTCTTTTTTTTTTATTTTTTTTTATTAAGGTGTCCGTCTTCGGCGACTATTCTTTGGGTCTGTGATCCGGCCCCTCTTCACGCGCCCTTTTCTACTTAAAAAGGTTAAACCCTAACCTTAAGGGTCCCCCACCACCCCTGTCCTGGAGTATCGTGAGGGAGGTAAATTTCAGGTTATGCCTCCAAGGGTATAGGGTGGAAGGCTGCTTGTACACTTGCACTTACCCAAGAGCCAAATTCATATTTCAGGATTCGAACCCTTGACGCAGCAGCCTCAAGTAAAGCTGGATTTCTCCATCCTCCTCTTTTAACACTTGGAGATGTGCCCTGGAGGCGCGCCCTTTTCTACTTATTTGCACATTTGATGGTCAATGTATGATTGATCGCTTCGCCCTACGAGGAGTATTTTCTCCGATTCCCAAACTTAAGCGATCTTCTTAGAATATTAGTATTTGCCCACCCTGAATACTTCTAATTTCGACTTTGGTACGCTCACTTCAATATATTAGCTCAAATTTATGGTGGATGACTAAAGAGTGGAGATCACACGATAGTCGAAAACTTAGGATTCTCTAACATTATATTTCTCCATTCCAAACAAAATACTTTGATGCTCTTTTGCATTACTTATTAGTTTAATTTGCTACCAATAAACGGTCTATTAGTGTCCCCTTAACTCACTTAATAGTCCGACAAACAACCAAACTACTTCATATACAACTTGATTAGCCATAATATAGAAGAACGAAGGACAAAAATATGCACATTAATTTAATTCACTATGCACCTACCTAGCATATTCCAGTGACTCTCTGGATCTGATCATGATAAACATGAGCATATAAAACTAATAAGGGTAAATTTGAGTTTGTCCACAAGTCGAATCAAAATTAGTCAGTTCTATCTCTGAATTAATAGAGCAATGACAGAATATAATGTAATTAGTAGTAGACTCACGTTGACATGCTAAATGCCATCAACTCAAGTCCAATCACCCTTTAAAACTGTGAATTTTTCTATTTTGAGGTCCCTTTTGGTATCCATTTTGTCAAAATATATTTTCTTTATATTCTTTTCAACCACACATTTTTTATTAAAATAATATTACATGTAAATCAAAAAAAAAATTCTTATTTTCCAACCACACATTTTCCATCAATTTACTATTCAAAAATGCATTTTTATATAAAAATGGCTCTCAAACACCCCCTGAATCTCTCTCCTGTCATTATAAAATGAGAATAAATAAAAGGCTCGCAGAATTAACATGAAGAGCTAGGATGGCAATATTGGGAATGAACTCTAGGTAAATTTCAAATTGGTTAAATATGAGAACAACATTTATCATAAAGTTTGAGCTACCCAAAAAGTTAACATTCTAAAATAAAGATTGGAGAATTTTTTTTTTCCTACTACTAGGCATGTTTTAACGAATGTAAAACATGGTTCAGTACATACTTATATAGGAGGGTGGTTCAGTGTGACCTTTAGCTAAAGGTTTTTTTTTGAAAAAAAAAAAAAATTTATCTTGTCCCAAGATGAAAAGTACAACGTAAGAGCTAAAGACACTCCACTTCATTTGCCTAATCACATTTTTCGTCATTATACATCGAACTTAAGAGTTAATATGATATCATACTACAATAAATTCAAATAATCAACTCAAACCATCTAAAGTTTACTAGCAAATTTTAAAATTAATATTCTTAAACAAGCCAATATCTATCCCAAAAATGCTAGAATAATAATGGTTGAACAGGTTCAAAGATAGACAAAAGTTGGATAGACTGACTTGACAGTACATGATTGGATGTTTGTTTTTTCAAATTGTCAAATCTTGTATTGACACGTGTTCTCCCGATTTTTTAATCTGTCTTTGATCCTGTTTGTGTAGCATAATTGAAAATGCTAAAGGTAAATTAATATCACCGTATATATCAATTATCATGTGATGACAACCATGAGCGGTCAAATGTTTTTTCCTCCAACATCCTTCGATGAACTAAAAACCTAACACTGGTATATAACTATTATTGCAAGCATCTTTTTATTAAAATAACCTTAATTAGAAACATCCATGCTTCTACGTGTTGTTTGTCATTTTCTCCAAATCCATTGTTAATTTCTCTCCACCAATGTTCCCGCTTTATATATATATATCTTTGCTCTTTCACTAAATTTCCACCTCCACCCACAATTTCTTCCAAGAAAACCAAACCAATTCCCTTCTAATAACCTATTTTCAAGAAACAACTTTAGTATTTCTTGTATTGTATTGATACATCATACGAGCACATTTTAGAAACCGAAACTCTTTGGACCGGTTAGAATCCATGGCTTCGCCATCACTTGATTCACAGTTGAATGCTGATAAAAGATTTCGGAGTTCTTTTTCATTCAAAAATAGGCCAAGAATGCTCAAAGATTTTCTCAAAGATGATTCATTTTCTTGTTCATCAAATGATTTTCGGTCAGTTCCAAGAAAAAACCTATGCAAATCAAATGTAACAAACAAACGCTCGCCAATACTTCTCAGAAGTGGATCAAAAGCTGCAGCAACCACATTTTATGCACTCAACAAAGTCATTAAGGCTGTTAAATTCTTCCCATATGCCTCTGTCAAATCTCCACTAGTTTTACCGAGAAGCATTTCCCGTAAACTCTCCAGGAGGACCAAAACCAGAAATGAAAATTTCTCAGAAGTCTCCGTTAAAGTTAAAGACATTTTACGGTGGAGATCGTTTAGAGACTTGGAGGAGGAGAAAGCTACATCGTTGAATTTTTCTTCATCATCCCCTATTCGGACCGCCACCACCACCACAGGGTCTACTAGTACTACCACCTCATGCAGCAAGAGATCTAGCTGGTGTGATAGTGATTTTACTGCGGCCGATTCACCATTGTGGGGTGGTGAAAATGATAAATCTTGGGGTGAAAAGGGGAGTAAAACAAGAAGGAAACTAGAGGTAATTCTAAACTTTAAAATTATCATATTTTATATGCATTTTTTGAAATTTTTATTTTTATTTTCGTTGTCTTCTGTTAGACTATCAGAATATAAATTAAGGTTGTGGGTCAATGGTGAATTGTCTACATATAAAACAAAAGGGCCAGTTGTTGAATAATACAAATTAGATTTCTTATCTCCAGGAGTTTTTGTTACTAATAATTATTCATATGTTTATGACATAAAGGGGGAATTGACATACGAAGAAGCTGAGCAGCTTACCCCAGTTTCGGTTCTTGATTCTCCATTTTGTGAAGACGAAGAATCCATATTTCCTTTTCATCTTAACTCTGCCCAGAGAAAATGCATGTTCATGCAAAGACTTCAACAATTCGAGACCCTCACGGAATTGGAAAACCTAGAAGAGAGCCAAGTGGATAATCTGCCGTCTGATTTCTTTAAGAATTATTGTCAAAATTTTGAGAATACTGCAAAATCTTGGATCAATGGAGAATATGAAAATTGCGAAGCGCTGGACATGAAGGAGGCCTGTGTTAAAGATATGGAGAGGGGACTGGACTGGAAAGAGTTTAAAGATGAACAAGAAGAAATGGCAATGCAACTTTTAAGCGATTTGTTCGACGAACTTTTGGATGATTTTGTTGCCAGCAAAATCTAAAAAGTAATTTTTAAAACTATATTTAGAAAGTAGCTTATCCATTATTATAAGCACTTGTAAGCTATTGCAATTTACACAATATATATATATATATACACACATATGTGATCGTGGGTGTTCGGGCCAACTTACGGCACCTTGACTAATTCTACGGAACCTAAAGTTTACAGCCGGGTACTTATCTCAATAGTTCTGAGGGGACTCGAATTGATGATCATTGAGAAGCAAACCCAAGATTTGATCACTGAGCTACCTCTCAGAATTGCAATGTACGGATGATATGAATGTACATAATCTAAATATTTATAAAATTTCATTGAATATGGCGCAATAATAATTTTCTTCCATGATCATAAATACCGATAATGTTTATGCAATATTCTATAATTATATTATAATTTATACTAATTGATCCACGTTCTGTGTCTGTTTACATGGATGGTGACTATTACTGAACTTTTCCATTTATAACAAATTAAGTATTTTTCATTTGAATTTGATTTGATTCGTTCTATTTTCGTTTGTAGATTTATGATTTGCAGGGCTTTTGGATCCCTTTTAAAATGGAACCGAATAGACCAACATGATTAGCCCACTAAAGAACTGAGCCCACAATTAGTGGGTTGGGAATCATGCTACATCCACAGTATTATTTGGAGAAAAAAATTGATTTATAGGCCAAAAAAGTAAAATTTAAAAGTTAATGCATAAGCTAAAAAACTAAAAAAAAAAAAATATTGTGCACAAAAAAGTATGCGTAAATTTTGTAATTCGTCCTACAAGGCAGGTCACATATAGCCAAACAAAGACAAAACAAGAAGTCATGCAAGATTCGTGTTCCGCTTCACCTCGCACCCTCATGTCGCCTCTAAGATGATTGGACAATTGATTGAGATGATTTAGGCGCCTTATTTGAAGTGGTAGCACCTCTTTCAAAGTGGCAATTTTAAGGTGATGCACCGCTTTCTACTGTAGTTTATTTTCGAGGCGATTTGAATGTCTTATATGAAATGATACTACACATGTCTTGCTACATTATTTTCAAGGTTATTTGGACACTTCATTCGATGTGATAGCACCTGATCTAAAGTGACACTTTCAAGGCGATGCACCAGCTCCTGCTACTGTGTATCTCCGAGGTCATTGACATCTCCTAAGGTATCTTCTACACTTACCTCGATGAAAAGATACCGCAAGAATATAATTTGTACACTTAACAAATTTGTTAACTTGCAGCAGATATGCTTAGTCAATTTTTTCAGTTTACTTTTTTAGATTGCTTTGGTAACATACCTGCTTTTAAACCTAGTGTGGCTACAAGCCTATGACAGCCGGTATTGATATCTTGATTAATGAGTTATTAAGTAAGCATTCAATGGATTTCACTTCTCTCTTGCTTATAAATATTTGCACGTAGTAACATCTACTTTATTATTATTATTATTATTATTATTATTATTCGCTAACTGCCTACAATTCTCCCAGTAGCGATTAGTGGAAGCCAACCGTCACCTCCAATTCCAACCCAAATAAATCATCAATCCAAACCCTAGCCTTGAAGATTCCGTACGTCGTCATTGCCACAATCACCCACTACATTTATAGTCACTAACACGCCTTCCGCATCTCCACCATCTTCGAAATTGAGCATCCAACTCATATGTTCTGGTTCTAGTCTTGTTGAGCCAATTGGATTCGCCACCTTTCATCTTTATTTCATAAAAGTGATTTTAAAATTATAATTAAATGGTTTCCGATTGAACTAACCAAATTACGGCAATTTTCAAATCATTCCTCAAAACTCAAAATGTCAACTTTACACTTTTGAAGGGTCCTTAATGAGAGGTAACAATCACTCCTATTGCAGCCTCGTTCATCACCTTTATGTTATAAAGAATAATGTTATTTGATGTCGCTCATTATATGTAACAGTTATTGATTTGATGTATTAACGTGGTAATTTTTTATTGCTCTATGCATCAACCTATTAACACCCACACGTGTGTTACGTAGAGCAATTGCAAATAACATTACTCTGTTATAAATAGTTTTTTATTTTTATTTTTATTAATTTTTGTGTTAATTTAGTATTAAGGGTAAAACCGTATGTTTAACGAAAAGGTGAAATTGTCAAACGGGATGGAATTTATCTACTGGAGACGGATTTTCTATAAATTTAAAAGATTGAAATTTGCAAGTTGAAAACCAACATATTACGAGCAAGTAAATTGAAGTGTAATGTATCCAGCGTCAACCGATTGCGTGCAGTCCACTCAACGGGGTTGATTGAGCACGTGAATGAACGAAGGGCCTCGAGACGTTTTCTGGATCTGGTTTCCTAATGACAACTAATAGCTTAGAGAATTTATTTTTGGTGCTTAAAATATTGAATTTGAAGTCAATGGTTCTGGTTTATTTAATCGATGAATAATTAATTAAAAAATATTTCCAATGCTAATAGTAGTATAGGCTGAAATTTTCTGGAGTTGCATGAGAAGTTATCTTATCCCTGAATTTACTAAGTTGGGTAGAGCTATGGTTAGAAGCTAGGTAGGACGTGGTGAGTCTCACTTCCAACCATGGACATTATTGACTTTATAAGACTCTTAAAATTGGAAAAAATTCCCCGCGCATACCCCTTTGCACAGAGCTTGTATAGGGGCTCTCACATAAAGTTGGACCCGGCTGAAATTTTCTGGAGTTGCATGAGAAGTTATCTTATCCCTGAATTTACTAAGTTGGGTAGAGCTATGGTTAGAAGCTAGGTAGGACGTGGTGAGTCTCACTTCCAACCATGGACATTATTGACTTTATAAGACTCTTAAAATTGGAAAAAATTCCCCGCGCATACCCCTTTGCACAGAGCTTGTATAGGGGCTCTCACATAAAGTTGGACCGCATATGTGTGGGGTCCACTCCAATGTGTGTGCAACTGTACGGGCCCTGTGCAGGTTGCGCAGTTCATTAAAATTTAACATTGAAGCAACTCAAGGGCATTATATAATTTTTCTAAAGGAACTTCTTTTTTTTTTTTTTAAAGTAATAATGTAGTGGATAATCATCCGGAAATTTTTTTAGAATTATTCTACTTCATCAAAAGATTTTTGACATCCTCCTTGACAAATGTATAAGTGGATGAAAATGAAGATTGTGTTTAAAACAGTCTATTGATAGAATGTCGTGCGACGTTATGTCAATCTATCTGTCAAGGAGATGGTCAATGGGACGCGACTGAAATTTCCATTGACAGTCACTAACATGAAAATTGTTGGTGTTACCCCTAGAAGTATTATTTATTTTTTAATGAGTTGTCGATGTATTGTTATGTTGGTAACTTAATCCTGTTTGGTTAGAATTAAAATTATATGTTTGATATATTATGATAAATTTTAATGAAATGTGTAGATAAAAAGTTGCGAACCATATAAAATATATGATTAATTGTTAATTTTGATTTTAATAAAATATATGTTGTAATCCATATCAAATATGGGATTAATATATCTTTCTATGTTTTACTTTCTATTTTTTAAATGTTATTTTGTTACCAACAAATTTTTATAACAGCAGTTTATAAATTTTGTATTTTACTACTTAATTCATAGACAATATTTCTAAGTTAAGTTATAAAAATAAATTTATATTTTTATTGATTTATTTATGAAAGAAATTCTGTCACTAAATTAAATTTATGAAAATTTTTATTTTTAATATTACAAACTAAAAATTTGTTCTCCATATTAAAATAATTTTTTAAGTGCTATTTACTGACATAATCAAAGATTAAGAATATCCATGTAATTGTCTTTTTGTGATGCACACCCGCAACAGTAATAACAAGCACCTTATCTACGTATCTACAACAAATTTAGCCCCCTTTTTCATCCCCAATTATTTCTAAAATATATTTTTCTATCTACGTGATAATTGGAAGTTCACAACTGAGCAAGTCTAAGAAAGCAGTCTCATCAACAAATTCCAGATTGCTAGTCTTTAAGGCTTTATCGAGAAAAAATGTTAGATTTGTTGAAAACCCTTACAATGATTCACTCCCGATCAAGCTTTTTGTTGGAGGATCAAGCATTTGAAGAGTCGAAATTGATAAAATTATGGTGTATAGTAAAAGTACAACAATATCCTGTACATGGGGAACTACCATTATCAGGATTCTCCAAAGAACGTCTTGAATCCTCATACACTGCATTGCGCATTGTCATGAAGGAGTCGAGATCTGCTATCCAATTTTACTGTTCATTCAGTTAATTCTTAATTATTTCAAATTTATCCTCGTTAACTTTATCACAAGATACTAATCTGTTAAATTGATGATATGTCAAGAATTAATTGAATAGACAATAAAATTAGACAGCAAATCTCAACTTGTAATGTAGAATCTTGTAATATTGCGTAGAAGGATAATCCACAGAAATCCCTAGTAGAAAACAATGAGCAGCGATATAACCTTTCTTAACAATTATTCGCCCTTTTTTTTGTAGTATGTCATCATTAACTTAAATTTTATTATATTCTAAATAAAAAATTATTAATTTTTTCCATGACCATTTTATTTTATATTTTAATTACTTTATTTATTGATGATATCTTCGTCAATATTGAATTTATTAAGTTGTTTACTTTTTAAATATTATATACTAATAATTCATTGTAATCCTAAATTATTTCTTAACTATTATTTAACTGTCAACAAAATTTGACAAAAAATTAAGGTAATATTTTAATTTTTAGTATACAATGAAAATTTTATCAATAAATTAAAGAGGGTGTTTTCAATTGAGATTGTGATAAATTTTAAAAGTTATTCTAAATTTAGTTGTATTCAATTAATATTTTATTGGATTTTAATAAAATCCATTAAAATTTAGGTGTCCCCAGTTGAGATTTTAATTAAATTCTTTAAAATTTAGATTTATAAATATTTTATCAATAGAAGGATTTTAAAAGATTTGGAGGGATTTCAAGCTTAAAAATACATATAAGCAAATCTTTTGAAATTTCACCATATTTGATA